GTAATCATTGACAGGAAGAGTAGACATGCGGCTGTCAGGCAGACAGGTGAATACATTGTGCAGGCCGAATTGCCTGGGGAAGATGTATTTCATAACATGCACGGTTTGCGACAATGAACCCGAAGAGGGAAAGCGATTCAGAACGTCTGTTCCAACCGTCAGTAGGAGGCTTATCCACATCATGGGCTTCCAAAACACATACGCCGGTTTGACAATCCAGACTGAACTTGCCCCTTCGCGTCGAATGCAGGGCGCGCATAAAGCATACGTCGGCGGAAGAGCACTACGCTATTTGGCTTGGAGATATCATTCGTACCGCCCTCTGTTTTGCTTTGGGCGCTAAGTTTTCCATCGACTTCCACTGGCCGTGAAGAACTGCTCCTAGTAGGATGTGCAACCTTAGCATTCAGGGGTTGTGTTCCAACTGGATTGTTCATTGGTTCAAGGTCTGATAGCGGAATGCCTGTATTTGTGCATAAGTAGTCATCCGCTAGGCCGTGGATGCATGACTTACCGCTTAATTGATAGTAGATGCCTTTCCGACTATCTATGGCAGTAAATATCCCACAATCAAATAAGAGACTTGTGATGATGTCCTCCCCGTTGCTCCCCAGAAGTCCAAGGATGTCGGTCCAAGGAGCGCGCTTAAGGGACTGGACATTCTTGTTCGGGAATCGTGCCACTATGCCACGAAGACTGCAGGCAAGAGTCCGCGTTGTAGCTTGCAGCCCGTTCGCACGTTGAAACCCATGGGCTAAGATGTGTTTCGGTTTCTGATACGAAAATCCACTGCGATTGAACAGCGCCGATATAACGTAATCCACAATCTATAGAGACAGTTAGCAAGAAGCCTCCGCAGCAATCACAACTATCAGTCGGCATTTCTAGTTAATGATTGTATGCGAACCGCTATACTGCTAGCTAAAAAGCCAGGATAGAGATTTCGTCGGCGCTGTTCAAGAACTCGTGAAACATATATCTTATCTTACCTCTGCTTGAGGACAAGGGGGTCCAGTATCGGTACTGGTGACTAATGATCTATCCGGCGATGCCGTGAATTCAGCTAATTCCCGCCGTCGCTTCTGATCGCATCCAGCAGTCGGTTCTTTCAGTATGCCTACTAGCGTCGTATCCAGCAATTGTGACAGCTCTTCATCCTGGTCACCTGAACGGCCAGCACCATTGGAGTCATGACTGCGCACCGACGCTATCCTTCTGCGGCGGGATTTTGAGGATTTGGGTATTCGCTGAAGGAGATATTGTCTCAAGGTCACAACGCGTCGGTAATATATGGAGATCACTGGATGGGTTTGCTCCAATGGTTCTTCACAGGGCCCATTGGTGACCTTCCCTCGGGTGGTGGTCTGGGGGGACAATTGCGGCAGGTCCCCTCGTGCTTGGCCATTCTTGACGGGCCGCTTTCTTTTTTTGCCCATGGCTGTAGATACCCTGAATAATCAACCTTACATGGTGGCAAGCGAGAATATTGATTGAGATTGATTGGTTAGTTGGTGTGTTGTAGTATACTAGTACTCAGTAGAGGTTGAAGGGGGCTCTTGGCGGACGCGACGCGCTCGGACAACGCGACCTAATCTTACTGGGGTAAATTATGGTTACAACTTAGAAGTACATGTACAGTCATAAGCCTGATAAACCCACTATATCTAAATTTTAAATTCTATTCTATATTCTATAGAATTCCCCCCACCTTATACTATATGTAGTTCTAGAAAAAAAGCTCTAGAACTGAGTATACTTTACTTTACCTTATTTTATTTTTTATTTATATAGAATAAGCCTATCTAGCAATAAAATCTATAAGTAAAAGTGTCTACCAGTATGATCAAAAACATAGGAATAGCCAAACATTTCTCAGCCAGACGGCTTAAGCCTTCCAAGGCTCCAAATAAATTTTTATTAATATGGTCAAAGATGTCTAAGCGAGTGGTAGGGCGATCTCGGCTCACTTGCTCTCCACCTTCCCGAGCGCCATTGATGTGCAACGAACAGCTGGGGCTTCCTACCCGAGGTCTGGGGCACTGCGGGGTCCCCAGAAGTGGGAAAATTGGTGTCCCTTAACTAGGTGACAATTGCACTCCACGCTCGGGTTGTATGCAGCCTTGGAGATTGCCTGATCATGGCCTCCCCGTATACCTCCCCAAGATTCGCCCCGGGTACCCAGCCTTTGAATCGTAACTTGTATCAATGCGGGACATGCTCTCAGTCATTCACCCGAGTTGATCATCTGTCCCGCCATGTTCGGTCCCGTGAGTTGTCCTTCGCTATTCTTGGCTGCTGTATAGTCGAAGATTTAACACTCGGACACTAGACACCCAAGAGAAGCCTTACAAATGCTTAGTCTGCAGTAAGAGGTTCGGAAGGATGTGAGATTTACTTGCCCAATTGATAGGGAAGACGAGCAACGGAGTGCTAAGTTTATTCTAGAGATCTTCTCAACAGGCATTCCTCTCTCCACAATACCGATGGTGATGAGCCTGTGTCAAAGAAGCGCCGTCGGAATGGCTGTAACACTACCATGCTTGCCCGGGCATCCCAGGCCTGTACTGCCTGTGCAGAGGATCACCTCCGATGCGACGAGGAGAAACCGTGTAAACGATGTCAGCGAAGGAACATTCAGTGCAAGGTGCCACCGAAGCAAGTGGATGAGCTTAACGCTTCACCCACTATCCCTGAGAAGCATCATACAGGCGGCAGTGACTCAAGCTCTTTGAATAATCCCACACTTAAGCCTGACATGACAAACGATCGGCTGTATCAGATGTCTACCAGTCCTCCAACAGAAATGCCAGCAGGCGATATTTGGTCCCAGGGCCCGTCTCACCATGCTCCAACGGATACGGAAATCGATGTCTCGGCGTCACTAGCAAAAGACTATGCGGACCTTATAACGCCGAACTCAGTTGATATGTTTGCAGCTGGTCTCTCCATAGATAGTCTGAGTGGAGTTAGAACGCCGAGGGGGCTGATATCTTTCGGATTAGAAACAGACCTCGATCTGAGCATGGTTGATCTCAGCTTCTTAGAATCCTACAATTCCCGAATCCCCTTTCAGTTTGATGAGCATGAGACCCCTCAATCAATTTCCGGGTCCGCCCTGGGGGACTGTGCGGCAGGTACAAACTATGGCACACCTAATGATCGTTCTATGCAGCGATTACGATGGCACTTTGTCCCTGAGCCGCAGGATCACGGGTATGCCGAGCACAATAATTTATTACTGCCCGCTGATGCGGAGCAAAACTCAACACCAAGGAACTTCATCGGTATGGACAGTTATTGTAATGCAGAGAGCCTGGACCTTGCCTCGCGTGATAAGATTCTGAGTATCTTCCTGAGTCAGATGAAACATCCAATCTCTCAAGTCACTCTGTCCTTTCCCTCTGTTGAGCTGTTAGATATCCTTATCCGGTATTTTCTAACAAGTCCGACATCGAACGCCAAATCGTGGATCCATCTGGCCACATTCACTCCAAAACAGACCCGGCCTGAACTCCTGCTTGCAATGGCAGCTATGGGAGCTGTGTTAACGCCAGACCCGTCACTGCAGAAATTGGGTTTTGCAATGCAGGAGGTCGTCCGTCACCAGCTTCCTGTGGTGTTTGAGAGCGATAATACTATGATCAATAACCTTGACTTGTTGCAGGCATATATGCTTTGCTTAGAAACGGGCCTCTGGAGCGGCAATAATCGAAAAATGGAGATCTGTGAGAGCTCTCGTCTACCATTAGTTACAATTCTTCGGCGTCGAGGATTATTCCATCATGCAGCATATCCGCCTGTCCTCATTAGCTCTGAGGATGTAAGTGACAACCTCGATAGTAAATGGCGTTCCTGGGTGCGGCAAGAGTCTTTTAAACGCCTCGTTTATAATTTGTTGCAACACGATGCCCAATTGTCTATGGTTCTTTTCACAAACCCGTTGTTATCCTACGGTGAAACCTCACTTTCTATCCCCTGTTCTCGCGATCTTTGGACTGCGAGCTCGGCTCAAAAGTGGAAAGAACTGTACTGTGCACGCTTCGCTATGGGCTCGACACGGATCCCAACGCTTCTGGAGTGCATTGCAAACCTTGATCTTCTCGAATGCAGCAAAGCTGTGGCAGACACAACACTTGCATGTTTATCTATACTTTGTGCCATGTGGGGAATGGTCTGGGAATATCGACAATTCAGTATTCTGCTGGCGGCGCAATCCCGGTACTGGGATAATGGGATCCTGATGGTATCACGCTACCAAGAGCTTGTGAAGATGCTGAGGTATTTTCATATGGGATACAAGAACGAAAGCACACTTCATTTGAACCTTATTCTAATGCACATGCACATGTCACTAGAGGATGTGCAGATTCTTGCCACGATGGAGGACCCCAGAAAGACCTCAGAGTTTCCGCCGTCGATCCATTCCTGGTCGAAAAGTAAAGAATGCCGACAGGCACTCTGGCATGCTGGACAGGTCATCCGAGAGCTCAAAACTCTTCCTTCGCAATGTCTCCGGGACTTCATGGCCGTTGCCCTGTACCATGCAAGCTTGGCTCTCTGGGCCTACGGTATGGCAATCTCCCATGCAACTGAAGGTAATGCCATGTCCCGGCCGGATTCCATGAATATGAATATGGAGAATATAATATGGCTCGATGGTGATGATACCGATGGCGTGCATCGCTATCTCGCCTTAGAGCGTGGCATTCCTGCCTTGCATGGAGTCCAGCCGCATATAGCATCTGCTTCTTTGGCTGACCCTGGCGCCATTTTGGAGCTAGTTCTCCAAATAATGCATAGAAACCATTCCGGTGAGCGGGAGCCGCCTCTGGTAGAGAACTTGGTCAGTCTCATTGAGAAATTACGGGACATCAGCAAGTAATATGCCATGTGAGAACTTTCAGATGATCTATATATAGATAAAATACCAGATATCGATTTGAGAAAATACATCTATGCCTTCTAGTAACAAGCACTATATTGCATGTATCTATGCGTATCTACAATGAAAACCCAGCATCAATGACAACATTCATCCCAGTAATGGATTTTGAGTTCGCAAGGAACTTAACTTGCTCTGCAACATCCTTTTAGGGTATTTCAGGTTAGTAAACCGCGTTTCAATGCCCTATGAGGTACATTATATTCTTACCTCCGGTGTAGCGAATCGCTTCAAGACATTCTTCTCCCGCACGGCGTTCAATCTTTCTTCTGGGAACTGTTGCCCCCAGTCCTATAGACATTATTAATAAATGTCCACGAAACCAAAAAGTCACAGACATACCGTAAGCAACACACCGGGCGAGACCGTGTTTACTCGAATATTCGGCGCCGCAATGGCTGCCAGGCTTTTGGCAAGGTGTATAAGGGCAGCTTTCGTTACAGCATACGGCTATGCCCCCAATATCAGCCAGATACTTCCACAAATATCAAACTCTCCAACAATACTCACCAAGGAGCTACCGCTTGGCTTAACACCAGCAACACTCGCCGTGGCAATAAACGCCCCCTGGGTCTTCTCCAGGTGCGGCCTGCATTCCTGGAACAGGAAAAAATGGCTCTTGACGTTCATATTGAAGCATCGGTCCCAGTCAGCCTCGTCGTCGGCCTCGTCAAGATTCGTAAAATCTGTCATTCGTGTCCAGCCAACATTTGAGGCCACTATATCTAAGCGGCCCATTTCCTGAACCGTCTGGTTCACTAATCGACGAATATCAGCTCTATCTGCCATATCTGCTTTTAGAGCTTGGAATTGGGGGGATCCTGTCGACTGGGTATTATTATCTCTCGAAGAGTTCAGATCTCGAATGAGGCTTTGTGCGGGCTCTGGGTTGGATCCATAGTTTAGCATAATACTGGTATCGCCCTCGGCGGCGAGTGCACGAGCGACGGCGGCCCCGACGCCTCGCGATGCCCCAGTTATCAGCGCAACTTTCGGAGGCATTGTTCGCGGTCAGTTACACTGTAGATATGGGTTCGGATACGCTGACTGCCCTATAAGATATAGATGTGGAATCAAAAACGATCGGATGTGCCCCCTCCACCTGCGGGCCAGACTATCGGCTCCACTTGGAGAACCCTCATCCACAAAGTGGCCAAGGGGTTTAAGAGTGGATGAACCGTGACCTTTTATCAGGTAAAACAACTAAACCGTACTTGACCATTCCCACTCTGCATTACACTCCTATATTCACCTGAGACACGAATCAACACATGCCAAAAATGCAAGACAACGGCCTCCGTCCCATCAACCGCGTGATCACAGACCACGACGCTCAAGGGACGACCAGATTCCAGGATAGAATTCCCGAGCCCCTTGAATGGCAGCAGCTAGCCAACGGTGCCCGCTTTGCGCTTGCTTACGGGACGAACGAGGTCCCCGTGAACTTTACGGGCGAGAAGGACCTTAATGTTTACCAGTCGTTGCTGAGAGATCTCCCGGGTGTTACCATTCCCGGAGGCACGGTCTTGCGTGTTGTGGACATGAACCCTGGGGCCATCTCACCCATGCATCGGACTGTCAGTCTGGACTACGGGGTGGTGCTCGAAGGAGAGGTCGAGCTGGTGCTGGACTCTGGAGAGACGAGGTTGCTCAAGCGAGGCGACATCGCGGTTCAGCGTGGGACGAACCACGCGTGGAGGAATACGAGTGACACCAATTGGGCTCGGATGTTGTATGTTCTCCAGGAGGCCCAGCCTTTGGAGATTAATGGGGCTACACTGGAGGAGGACTATGGGGGCGGGATGGATGATGTGAAGCCTTCCAAGCGAACGAGGCGACAACAGGGAATGGAGGATTCAACTTAGGATAATAAACAGAAGCTGCAATTAGATCAATCCAAAGTTTTCACTTCTATTTTTAATAAATTGTATATTTCTCTCTGGAAGATCTTCGTTTTGGTTGGTTTGCTGCGATTAGGTCAGTCCACGGCACCGTGTGCCCTAAGATCGGCATATTCAATAACTTAAGTATTTTGCAAAAGCATTCCTTTCAGCACTGGCACTAGTGCTTCTAGGTCAGATTGATACCAAGGACTTGAACTCCAGAGTTCCGGCAAAGCTACTTCGGACTTCTGTCCGGCCTCTCTTCAACCCGTCGACATGCCCATTCGGAGGTGGAGCCGGTGGAGGAATATCTAGTGTAAGACGAACACCATACCTCGCCCATAAGAAACAGATAAAACCCAAGTTGTACTAAGAAAAAGAATAGTAATCTACATACAAGCCCGAAGACTTTATACTTGTCCCCCTTGTGCTTCTACCATCACTCCCATCATGCCTGCCCGCCATCTGAAATCAAGGTCAAACACCTTGGCTGTGTCCACAACTCCTCAAGTCGACGTCAGCTCAGTCGTCAAGGGAGTGATAGACGATGTCCGGCAGAATGGCGACGCAGCCGTACGTAAGTACTCCGAGAAGTTTGACAAGTGGTCGCCAGCTTCGTTCAAGCTGTCCCAGGCGGAGATTGATACCGCGATGGCGGCCTGTCCCCAACAGACCATCGACGACATTAAAGAGGTCCAAAAGAATGTGCGTGCATTTGCACAAGCTCAACGTGAGTCTCTAAAGGACTTTGAGTATGAGATTCAACCCGTAAGACCAAGGCAATCACCATTGTAGATTCTATCTTACTGACGTTCCTCTAGGGTGTTGTTCTGGGCCAAAAGAATCTTCCTATTAGCTCTGTCGGTGCGTAAGTGAAGAGTACAAATGAAAGTGTTTCCGAATAAGAGTAGCGCTTAACATAAACAGATATATCCCTGGTGGACGATACCCTCTTCTTGCATCCGCCCACATGACCATCTTAACTGCCAAAGTTGCCGGTGTGCCGCACGTCGTGGGTTGCACTCCACCCATCGCTGGCAAAATTCCCCATGCCACAATTGCAGCCATGCACCTTGCTGGTGCCGACGAGATATATCTTCTCGGTGGTGTTCAGGCGATTGCTGCAATGGCCGTTGGTACTGAGAGCATGCAGAAGGTGGACTTCATCGCGGGCCCTGGAAATGCTTTCGTTGCCGAAGGAAAGAGGCAGCTCTTTGGGGAGGTCGGGATTGACCTCTTTGCTGGACCGACCGAAATCTTGATTGTTACAGACGAAACGGCGGATCCTTTTACCGTTGCTACCGACATCCTCTCCCAGGCTGAACACGGCCCTGACTCCCCCGCAGTGATAATCACTACATCGGAGAGTGTAGGCCGGAAAGCCATCGAGATCATCGATGAATTGCTCAAACACCTTTCAACTGCGGATGTGGCAGGTGTTTCGTGGGAGCGATTCGGTGAGGTGATTGTGGTTGATACGATGGAGGAAGCGTGGAAGCTGGCAGATGAATATGCCAGCGAGCATGTTCAAGTCTTTACAAAACGGCCTCGGGATGCATTGGACAATATGACAGCATACGGAGCGCTCTTCTTGGGTGAGAAGACGTGTGTTTCTTACGGGGATAAGGTATTATTGTGTTTCATTTGCCACTACTACCTTGAAGGCCCAAGGACTGATATTCTTTAGGTAGGTGATTGGAACCAACCACGTGCTTCCAACCAAGAAAGCAGCTAGATATACCGGTGGTCTCTGGGTTGGAAAGTATCTCAGGACGGTGACATATCAGGAGGTGGAGAGTAGCACGGCTAGTGGCGAATTGGGCAGACTCTGTGGACGAGCAGCTAGAGCAGAGAACTTCGAAGGCCATGCTCGGTCTGGGGACTTGCGTGCGCAGAGATATCTGAATAATCAGTATGATTGGATCAAACTGTATCACGAAGAGAATGCTAAGGCATAGATGGAGCATTGCGACAGCGACTTGCACGAGGGGTCCTACTGTATAGCTACTAGCTAGTTTATCTCATTCAATAGACCAATGCATTCAAATTTCATAAATTCTAACAAAAGTCCTTTCTCAGAGTATAGTTATACCACGTTTTTCCTGTTCAGCTGTGGGTAGATCACTTATGCACGGTCTAGCTAGTAGTAAAGGTACCACATTCTGGATTCTCAGTCAAGCATCAATCTTTCAATTGTCAATGCTGATATGTTTGCCATAATACGCGGTACACTCATTATCCCGAGACATATAATTGCAACCTCGGGCATACATACAACATAGATATGTCCCCCACCCCGGGTAGGTGGGCCCGAGATCAGCCCCAATCACCACGTTCAATTCAGCAACGACATTTGGAACTCTTAGCATATATTAAGTAATTTGAGGCATGTAAATATCTCTCATGCATTTTCTAAACACCAATCTCATACCAGTGTATGTGTCGACAACATGACCCAGCTCAACGGAACATCCGCTACTCCCAATTCGAGGAGCGAGAATCGCCCCCTTAAGGTGTTGGTCGTTGGAGCCGGTATTGGCGGATTAACGGCCGCTATTGCGCTCCGTAAACAGGGCCACGATGTACAAGTGCGTGTGATAATCCTCACTCTTGGAGTATGACATGGTGTAGGCTAACAAGCGTTTTAGATATTCGAACAATCGCGGCTGGCAACTGAGACTGGAGCTGCGCTCCATCTTGCTCCGAATGCGAATGGAATCCTCCGACGTCTCGGTATATGTGCGGAGGAATTCGGTGCAAATGATTTCGAGAGGGTGTGTACTCATTTCGACTCTGCGTACTATTCTTGGAGTCTGCTTTTAACGAGTTGATCTAGTTGACGGAATACGCTGCGAGCGGAAAAGTAGAAAGGTCTATGGAACTCTCAGAAAATCATAAGATATGGCAGCATGTTAGACTCCCACAAACGCTATTCATTTCCCGTTTCTAACTATCTGAATTCTGCAGAAATGGTTACTTGCTCATCGCATTGACTTGTACAACAAGCTGAAGAGCATAGCAACCAATGCTAAGGATGGAAGACCAGCCATTCCTTTACGAACGTCAAGTCGAGTGGAAAGTGTAGATGCTGAAGCCGCGCAGATCACTTTGGAGAATGGTGCCCATTTTGCAGGTGACGTTGTCCTCGGTGCTGATGGGGTTCACTCGATAGCAAGAAGCGCGGTCCCTGGGGGCGATATCAAACCATTTTGCAGCGGCAAGAGTGCATTCCGCTTCCTGGTGTCTAAGAAAGCCGCCCTTGATGACCCGGTCACTGCGCCTTTGGTTAAACACCCCGGGGAGTTGTGTATGTGGTATGGAACAGATCGTCGCATTGTTATGTACCCAACCTCCCACAACTCCGTCCTAAACTTCGTGGTAATCCATCCCGAGGCCGAGTCGGCCGATCAGGCAGCCGACGGGTGGGATCAAAGTGGAAACCTCGACAAAATGCTTCAAATTTTCTCCTCCTTCGATCCTACAATTCTCAGACTCTTGGCCAAGGCCGACCCCGAAAGTGTAAAGGTATGGAAACTCCTTGATATGGAGTCGATTCCACAGTGGCATTATGGACGTTTGGCTCTTCTTGGTGATGCCGCGCATCCCTTCCTGCCGCATCAGGGACAAGGAGCAGGAATTGCAATCGAGGACGCAGCTTCGCTTGCTGTTGTTCTTCCACTAGGAACTCCTGTGGAGGAGATACCCGAGAGACTGCAGCTTTACCATGACATCCGATACGCGCGCGCAACCCAGGTCCAAGAATATTCCCGGATACTTGGTGAAGATCGGACCGATGGTAAGGAGCTTGATAGTGAGTAGCAGGGCCCCATTCTATTCAATCTAAGAAGCATTGCTAACTACCATGTACTGATAGTGTACGGGTTCGTCAACTTCAACTGTGGCCACGATGAATGGGACAACTCCACCCAAAAGCTCCGTGAATGGACCTGGAAACGCATTCCTAGCCCCTACTGGCGGATGCCCATTGCCTTCGGGCCCATGCCAGGTCCTCGCCAAACCCACCTCGGAGTTCCCAGAGATGGAACGAAGTCCACCTTCACCACTGCGTCAATCAAGTTCAAGACGTCCCGAACAGTTCTCCAGAATCTGTTCCCACCCGGCCGGCGTGGCTGGCGTTTTACTTCGCCCGGCACCGTCGCCTACGCGTCCTTCGCGAAAACCACGCTGAATAAGATGGAATGGCTGGGCGGCTCAGGATACAGTCACATTGGTCTTTATGTCCACGGCGTCGAATACGTCAAGAAAGACGGCTCTACCGTGAAGGGCTCGTACCTCCCCATCCTGTTCGAGTCGCTGACCGATCCGATCGTCTCTGGTCGGGAGGAGCTAGGTATGCCCAAACTGTACACGTCTATCGATGTCTATCGCCGAGCGACATCTTATCGCATCCGAACTGGCTGGCAAGGTGCGCTCTGGGGTAACTTCCTCCTTGAGGACCTGGTCGAGATTGACCCGTCGTCTACATTTGGCGGAATCAGCGGAGAAGCGGACACTGGTATGCTGGCATATAAATACATCCCAAAAAGTGGCCGCGCAAATAAGAATGTGCCGGCGGAGGAGCATGCCGTCTGGGATCCGTTCTCAGAAGCGATGCCGAAGCCCACGCCGAAGAGGGTGTACACGACCAAGAAGGCGAGTTTTCAGATTGATGCTCTGGACTGGGAGCAGCTGCCAACATTGCATCATGTAATTTCCCGGCTGGCGGAAGTACCTGTCTACGAGATTATAGGGGCCAAGGTCGTTGAGGGTGAGGGTGTCCCCGATGTTTCGGGGGCGAGGCCAATCGAGTAAATGATGCTAGTCTGTTTTTGATATTTGAACTTTCGGGTGGCATACCTTACAGTTATGGATATTGGGTTGGATATTAGCATATGGTCAAGTCTCTAGTAGTCGTGGTATCTTCGCCATTGAACTGTTTCTGAAGTATATATCCAGTTAGCCCTAACCTCACCGTAGATACTTGAGCGTAACGCATCATGTAGATAGAGATCCACAACAACCCTCCTCCACCACCTCCCCATTTTTAATTAGTTATTGCTTCTCAAATAGCCTTCGCCGTTCACTCCTTAGAAGTGAAGAGCGCTCTATGCAGCTCTCATCAAACAGAGATCTAGGATCCTAGACAAAGTATTTTTATCTAGGGCACCTGGCTAGAATATCTTCAACTCCCACCAGGATGGAAACCTGACAGACCCTCAATGTATTTAAGTCAAGCTTGTTCCACGGCTGAACCAGGCCCAAAAAGCGAATGGGACACAAATGATCATGCATGAACTACTAAGATAGAGCACGAAAATATATATTCTTCTTTTGCTTGGACTTGGACAGTTTTGCTTCGGCCGTGATTATCACATTGCAATTTCAGCATAGTTACTGAGTAGGGAAACAACTATCAACATATATATCTATGCTACCTTTCTTTCAAGTCATTAAAACCGTTTCAATCCACCAAGTTACCGATGACCTCTCTGACAGGAAACAGAATGCATGCATGTTTAGTCAATAAAAAGCCCACCAGATGCAACAATATGTGCTCCATTGATCCATCGTGCACGCTCCTCACAGAGGAATGCGACTGCAAAAGCGATCTCATCTGGCTCCGCCATTCTCGGACCAACCGGAGTTTGGCCAATAATTGGCTGCAGAATCCTCATCTGGTCTTCACCGGCAGCCGCAAAGCCTTCGGTCTTTGTAGGACCAGGACTGACAGCATTAACTGTGCAGCCATATTTGGGTGGCAGCTCTCTAGCCCTGGATTCACCCACTTAGTCTATATCACGAACATGGAGCAAGGACCGTAGCTGAACCTACCAGCATTTTGTAAAAGAGTCCACCATCCCTTTTGTTCCCGCATAAATGGTCTGGTTTGGCGGAGGCCCACGACCGGAAATGCTCACAATATTCACAATCCTGCCACGCCCTTTCGTCAAGTGAGGCAAGCTTGCTTGAGTCAGGAGAAACGTACTCCGCCCATTTGTATTGACTAACAGATCCCAGTCTTCCAGAGTCTGTGATTCAAATGGCTTGTTCACGGCAAGCGCCACACAATTCACCACAATATCAATCCGACCCCATGTCGAGACTGCAGCATCTACTAGCTTCTGTGGAGATGTCGCCAACGACATATCCGCTTCAAGGGCAATGGATGGCGAGGGAAGAGATCCCACCAAAATGTCTGCTTCCTCTCTTAAGTGCTCAAAGGGGTAGTTCACCACTGTATTGGCACCGCGTGATGAGAGCTCTCGTATAATCGCAGCGCCGATTCCTGATGAGGAACCACTAACGATTGCTACTTTGTCCGCGAGGCTTTTCCCGTTCATCGTGTGGTGGGATTTAGGTGTTAGATGGCTGGCTACCAAACTTGTACGGCTAGAAGCTGATGATCTCATGTTTGGTCACCTTGCATTGTTAGCTTTGATTTGAAGACGAGAACACGGTCCATATTATGAAACGACCTGGTGAGGGCCCGAGTATCCGAGTGAAGACGCGCGTCTCAATACGTAGTCTAGGCGATGGAGGAAGCATTAATGCGGGGAAAGCTATTCTCCCCCACATCCCGGGGTACTCCACAGCCATCCACTTCTCAGTTAGTCAATTGACTTTATACGTGGCTTTTCTGGTGTATCTAGTGGCTGGATTGTGTGGACACTCTAACCGCAGCCGAACTGTGTGAGGTAGAACGTTACGGTACTCAACCCGAATGACTCGTAGAGCCAGGGTTTTGGCCAAGTCAGGATAGTAGTTGACAAAGTCAGAGGTAAATTAACGACGAACATATATCAGTTGGCTATGATACGAGGCTATTATCTACAGTTTCCATTCGTGTGCATTTAGCAATCCTTGTGTTCCTGAGATGTCACCCTTATCCAAATATCCACATATCCTCCCCGTGGGATCCCATTTGCGACGAATCTCCATCAGACGCTGGGCGTTGTCGTCAGCCCAATACCGAGTTTTCCTCACTTGAAAGTCCGAATCTCCCAGATACGCCCCAACTGAATGTCGTTCGACTTTCCGCATGATGTTCTGAACCCATGTCTGGCATCGGAGGTCATCCTTCTCATCCTCCCATACGGTATACAGCGCAAAGTAATGGTCTGACTGCATACTCAACGCCATATCTGGGAGTTTCCGCCGGCTGCAGGGATTCATTCCAAACCAAAGAGCGAACGATTTCTTATGCGGAAGTGTAGTGAACGCCTCCTCTAGAACAGCAGGAACATCTGCGTCGTTGTGTATGTAAGCGTTATCGGCACAATAGCGGTGTCCTTCTGGGTTTGCTTTAGCTTGGTTGATGTATTGGTTCTCAAGACTGTCCTCCTGGCAAAACCACTCAGCAATAGCCCCTGCTGGCCGTGTCCCCTGGGCTGGGGCGAGTGCCCGTTCAGCTTCTTGCGCGGAGGACTTCATGGTGACGAAGAGAATAAACAAGCATAGCTCATCTTGGCCCTCAGGGTAGTTGGCCACAGCTGCAATTTCGGTATCGTTATCAAAACCTGGAGTGATAGATATGATCCAACGAAAGACCTCGTGGTAATGTCGTATGGGGTAGACATAGCCCGATGACCGGAAGCCACCTTTAGGGTACGGCACGAGGTCGAGATGGAATCGGGTCACCACGCCAGGAAATCCTGGAATCTTACGTTAATTGCTTTGACTGAAAATTCAATGAAGAACGAAACATACCTGGCCCGGCTCCACGAGCAGCCCAATAGAGATCACGGTTCTGTTGCGAATTGCAATGCACCAAGTCCCCACTAGCTGTCACCACATCTAGAGCGCGAACACGTTCGCAGGCCCATCCCCAGTTCTACATATCATAATGTTAATTGTACATCAATTTGAAACGGTCAATGGTGGTTCATACTCTGCAATTCCAACCCATTCCGCCCTGAAGCAGGAAACCACCAATGCCAACGTCAGGGCAATGGCCCCCAGGAAACATCAACCCGTACTCCTTGGTCAACACACCATTGATATCCTTTCCTGTCATGCTTGGAGTTGCCCATGCTATTGCCCTCTTCGGGTCCACTTCAAGCTGCTTGTAGTTGCCCAGGTCGATCAAGATCGAGTTGTCCCGGACGCTCCACGCAGCCCACGAATGGCCGCCAGAACGAACTGCGACCCGACAGTTATTCTCAATGGCCAGCTTCACCGCAGCCACAATGTCATCTTGGCTACTTGCCTTTACCACGGCCGAGGGGTACCGTTGAGGGCGACGGCGGTTGAAGACGCGGCCCACGCGGGCGTCTTCATAGGTGTCAGGATCAGCGGTCTTGCGCCAGGTAATCTGCATGATGTCTTATTCAAACATTGTATGTGCTGTAAGATGGAACCCAGGATACAATATCATACTTAACTAATTTCCCCATAATCCCCCGCCTAGTTCCCCCGCACTCTTACGCTGGCCGATGCCGGGTATGTGGGGAATGAGGGCAAAGTTCCAAGACCCGGTGGGCCCGACGCGAGCCAAAGTGATTAAGCTCAGTGAGCGGCATTAGCTTATTTTCTCCCCCGTACGTCCTCGTCCGCTTAAATTCATACCCAATTCCAGGCATGGAGGGAAGCTTTTAGGGGGAAGAACGATTATGCATTGTGATCTCTGGCATACCGATGCATAGACCAAATCATGTCTCCAAAGGAAGTCGATCCCTCTCCAGTTGCGCCTCGAGGGCACACCTTGGGGGACTTGCGTCTGCGACATCATGAAACAAACGAGATTATTCTGATTCCGACCCCATCGAGCGATCCCAACGACCCACTAAACTGGCAAGCTACTCCAGTTGGCCCCATTCATCCCTATGCTTGCTTCCCCACCTCATATGACTAACGGCCTGGGTTCAATGGCTTAGGTCGGCGGCATTCCGGTACTATATCGCTGCTCTCGTCTGTCTGGCGGTGTTGCTGTGCAACTTTCTTGCGGCTGGACCAACCGTCGCAATCGAGCAGACAACCATCGATTTCCTTGGGCCAATGGGCTCCGATGCTAGTGCTCACATTGCGCGGGTGTCCTTTTTCTACAGCACCACTTCCCTCATGCAGGGAGTGGGTATGCTGTTCTGGATGCCTTTGATCATCAAGTTCGGTCGCCGGCCCATATATGTCATCTCGTTTGTTCTCTACGTGGGAACGGGCTTATGGTGTGGGTTTGCCAAAACCTACTCTGTGGAATTGGCAGGCAGGATCATTATGGGTCTGGCTGCAGGTGCAGGGGAATGCCTGGGGCCATTGACAATCACTGATACCTTCTTTCTCCATGAGAGAGGTGCAGCCATGTCACTCTACACGGCGGCTTTGTCGGTTGGAGTGGCCGCCGGCATCATAATCGACGGGCTCATCACCATCTCGCTCCACTGGAGGTACATCTACTACGTGGCTACTGCATTGATCGGCGGCGTCACTCTGCTCGTCATTCTTACGTTCCCAGAAACCACATTTGATCGTAACAGTGGTCTGGAGAGGGAGGCCGCATCGAACGTCCCTGTATGTGCGCGGACAGCGTCAAAGTCAGCTGTAACATCTGAACAACACGAAAATGCTGAGTCCCAGACATTACAGATCGGAAAAAAGCCTTCATTTCTCAGCTCCCTCCGTCTATTCAACGGCATCCATACTTCCGAGCCGCTACTCCGCATTTTCCTCAGACCAATCGTGCTGATCATTCTTCCACCCGTACTATGGACATCACTGGTCTTCGCCGTAACGATCGGGTTTCTCGTGGCCATAACATCCAATTTCGCCACCGCCTTCTCGACAACCTATAACTTCGCCCCATATCAATCCGGCCTGTGCTTTGTTGCAGGCTTAATCGGATCCTTAATCGGCATCGCCTTCGGCGGCCAGGTGTCAGACTGGGTGGCGGATTGGTTCACCCGGCGCAACAACGGCATCCGGCAACCCGAGATGCGTCTCCCCTCCATTGCTATCGGGGGCGTATGCGCCCCCACGGCCCTAGTACTCTACGGCGTCGGGATAAACAACAACCTACACTGGATAGCCCCAACCGTAGCTCTAGGACTACTAAACTTCGCCATCGTGCAAGCCACCAACGTCGCAATGGTCTACGTGATCGACAGCTATCGACCGTCCGTGGGCGAGATAACGGTCTCCATACTAGCATTCAAAGGTACGTCCGATTTCCCTTCACCCATTCCCGGCGAACAACAACAATCACGAACCTCCCTCCCTTCCTTCTGGGACTGGAACTGATTTGATATGATGCTAGCGGCATTCGGATTCCTCTTGTCGTTCTATACAAACCCCTGGATTAATTTGGAAGGATATAGCCAGGCGTTTGGAGAAATGGCCTGTATCGCTGGCGTTGTTATCTTGATGGCCGTGCCGTTTTATTACTGGGGTAGGGCCGTCCGCCATCGAACCTGGAAATGGCGTATCATGCAGAAATACGGCAGATGGGGGGCTGATCGTGACGTAGGCGAGTAGCGGGCGCTTATGTGTACTTGTTGTTTGAAGTGTAGGTTTTGAAGACTTACTTGAATATTGCCGTCAATCTGACAAAGTAACAAGCAGAAGCAAGTAGAGCAAAGTTGTAAGTGTTAGACCTATGGTTCTGAATTACCCATATCCTGGCCGAATGGCCTCCCACCATATTAAGTACATTATGTAACATAAGAATAGGGTTCTTTTAGGTTTAATAATGACGGTTAATGCTAGTTGCGGTTGGTAATATGATGGATTGCACGAGATAAGAAAAAGAAAATAATAAATAAAGAGAAATAGAGAAAAGGTAGGGGAAACCATCAGAGCGTAAAAAGATGCTGAGAATGAAAAACGTGAAGTGGTAAGGTCCCCGCCTTATTTCATAACCATGCCCTCCCTGACGTATGCATTATCCATAGACTTGAACTCCGCATCCTCTTGACGCCTTCGCCGATCCATTTGTTTTCATATATAGCCCCGAGTATACTTTTATCATTCAATTCGTGGAGGGCCAGGGCTTGCTGACTTCTTCCCTAGCGGGCTGAGACTCGCTCTGTTCAGCCAAAGGTTAGCATAATCGCGTCAAGGCACTTGTTCAGCGACATACGACCTCCGACGTTCACCTTCCTTGCGGAAGCCATCAATGATCTTCGTCATCTCTTTTCTCCCACCGCGGGCATCTACTTTCATTCCGCCCAGACTCATGCTGACTTTCTCGCTGGCGTTCGCAGTCAACAGCCTTTTCAGCAGCAGATGCCGCATACTCAGGCACACAAACACACCGCAGTCGCTACCATTCTCTTGTACCGGCGAGTCTTGTAGGTGAATGAATCGAATGGGTCGATTGAGTAATGCGCCAAACTTCATAGTCACCGTCCGGGCTTCCCAGATGTTTCCAGGAGGAAGTGAGTCGTAATGGAATGCTATCCCATCGACAATGGATATGAGAAGCAACGACCAGTGAGACCCGCCCTCAGCTTCAGTTACATTGCGACAATCATTGATTGGAAGAAAGACGTGCGTCGTCCGCGTGAAGTCGGGTAAGGCCTCCCGAAGCGTGTGCGGATTGGGTGTCTGCAAGATCATGAACGACATGCTGGGCCGCAGAAGTACAATGTTGGATGATTTATAATGGACGAGAAACTCGCGTTCCAGGTATCTGAAGATATCAGTTTAGGCGATGGTGGAACAGGCCCAATCGACTTACTCCTCCCAGAAGGATATGATCTGTGATAGATTAGCTACAGTCCATCGGAGGGTGCGATCACACCCACATTATCCGTGAGCCAGTCATTCTTGAGTGATTGCATATCCTCTCTCGTCACTGTGGAATGTCAGGTCTTCTATTAACCGGTTGCCAGGAGAAGCGCATACATACATCGAATGTCATAGTCTGTGTACTCCAGTCTAGTCAGACATTATCCTTCTCGGAGACTAGTGTCAATCAACCATGCACTCACAGCTCAAATACGCATCATCGGGGTTCAACTACTGGAGATAAGCTTTTCGTCATGGATCCGACACAGCAAAAGCCAAACAGCCCAGAGCCTACCGTATCACCAAACCGCTTCATCCTCTTATGCAACTTGCCCAATCCGCCATCAAGCATCCTGTCCGTCTTTATCTTGCGCGATAATCCCGAGCCTCAATTATATTATCTATCCACAAATCTCTCTGGAGGACGGCAATCGATGGGCCGGTTTCTGCCGAATCGAGGGGCCGTTGTGGAGGGCGGGGAACGGTTGCTGTGCATTCGATGGCTATCGAGCGCATCTATCCGAGGCTATCAACCGTTTCCAGTGGTGAAGCGGTTTAACTTCGTAGCTCCTTGTGGATTTCTCTATCAGATGAAGGGGAAATCGTCTAATCCGAAAGATGAAACAAGCCGTGATTGCGGTGGTTTGACCAGCTTGTGTTCGGCAGGGGAGCGAAGAGGAGGAAAGTGGAGTTGATCCTAACAGGGACAAGCTGCCAATCACCTGGGGTCAAATGGAAAGAATAGTAGTAAAGCAACAGCCGAGTGACAGGCGATTCCCACCTGTGGTGCACGAGAAGTCGCCCCTTGCGGCGATACGATTGAAGCCGTTCCGAAATGCCCGCGACGTCACTGTGGCTTCGGTTGTGGCTGGTGTATATACACGTGACGTGTGACTATATAGAATCTCTTCCTCTCACGATTAGTTCGCTACATTTAACGTTCCACTTTTGCGCATAATATTTACGTTCAACTTCTAGTTCCATTTTAACAACTAAATCAGGGGTATCTAAACGTACATTGGAGTGTCTCTGGCAGATTGTGCCTTCACTAGCACGAGAAACCGTAAACACCTTCGCAAAAGCAGAGAGTAACATGTATATCCCCGCACACATCAGACATTGCAAAGCAGAATCAAAGCAGATAACCTGGCCACCAGCCAATAGTAGACTGGTTGCCACCAGACAACAAAGAAAGAAATGCAGATGCGAAGAAACGCCCCCAAAACTTCATAACACATCATAAAAGAGAAATGTGAAGACCGATAACTCCAGGGCGGCCTTCTATGGAGCGTCAACGTTTTCTGGGGTAGATCCGGTCTAGGGCTAACAGACCCAGGACATCATGACGCTGGCGACCTCCATGCAAGATGTACAGTATTGAAACAAGCAATAATTTCATCGGATAGTGACATTAGGTTGAGAGTTTCGCAAAATGCTTATTCCAGATCCAACCAACCTGGCGGGTAGGGTCGTCCTGGTTCTTGGCTAGCCACAGCTCGCCCTTTTCGGCGATGACATCAAATATCTCTCCGGCAACATATGTCAGGTAGGGATAGCCGGCCTCTCGTCGGGCACGGTCAATGTTGAATTCATTAATACTAGCGGCAAGGAATAGCACCGCCGGTTCTTTAGGTGGTTCGTTCTCCTGGGGAGCATTGTCTTGTGGGTTGTCCGACATTGGCATTGCAGAAGAGAAAAAGCCCGAATACCGACCACCGCCAGGTGAGCTCGGCTGTTCTTCGGTTGGTCTGTCACTACTCTCAGAAGGACCACCAATGACGTCGACGAGGAATGGAGAATCCAGGCTCAACCGGGGAAGGCTTGGACAAGACTCTCTGTTAGAGCTCGGCTGAGGTCCAGAAGCTGATGAGCTAGTAATTTGTTGCAACATGTGGCTCCGGGGTAGTTCAATCGAATCGGGCGCAGCACGACCCGAGAAAGTCGAATCAGCACGCCTGCGTCCAAGAGAGACCTGGGACTGGCTATCAAAACTTGGCGATTGGAAAGAATGACTTCCACTGCCATAATCATGGGAAGCTTTAGGTGATTCATCCATAGTGGATCCAACGCGAGTGCTGGCGCTATTGACAGTTGATGGGCGCCGCGGCGAACTAATAGTTGCCCCGGTTGGGGGAGTGTTGAAATTAACGAGGTTGACAGTATCGGCCAATAACGACCCATTGCAGATGCCTAGGGACAGTACCTGTGCCTCAGAGAAGCTGAAACTCGCATTCCAATCACCAATTACCTTCTGGATATCGTCCGGGAACGACTCCACTAGGGGGCCAAGTTTCTCCTGCAAAGTCTTAAACCACGACGTTTGTATGTGGACAAAGCTTTTCAGGCAAGACTCCATCAATTTAGCGGTAAGAGAGTAGAGCTTCGGAAGTTCGTCTTTAAGGGCCTCATTAAGAGCGACAAATTGTTCCCCTTGCTCGATGGTTTTCTTATCTGGTTTGTCCCCTCGTTCCTTAATGCTCTTGAACCGGGCATAATCCATTAGGCGTTTGTCGCGCTTTTTCATCACTCTTTGTGGTCCATCATGAAGCTTAAGCAATGTGACCATTGGGTCAATGACGCTCTTACGAACGACAGCGATCTGGACATTGTCAGTCATTCTGGATACACGCGCTTCCATAGGGGATTGTACTTACATGCTTGGGTAATGCCTCTGTTATCACATCTTGGACAGCTGTCTTCAGCTCATCGCATTTGCCCTCAATTTCATGGTAAGCAGTCGGGGCGACTTTGATAAACTCTTCTATCGCGCTGGTAATTCCACCAAAACAGTCCATGGATCCCTGGACTTCACGCGTATACCCTTCCGCATCCCGCATGACAACTTGCAGTTGAAAGAAATTGTCACCGAACCTCTGAGACAGAGCATCGTATTCCTTGTCTTCAACCATGTCGGAAAGGCCAACCTGTTGTTTCAATTTCTCTGTGCGACGTCCAAATGCCTTTGACAAGCCTGCCCTGACATCAGACTCTTTTCTCTTGCGGCCCACAACTTGCCCCACAACATCTGCACGTTTCTTCAGCTCGTTGATACGAACGGAGATGTTCGTAACTTCTTCAAGGGCACTAACGAGAGCAGCACGGTCTGGGTGATCCTTAGGTGTCGATTCAAGGAGTTCACTCAAAAGAAGGGGGTATTTCAAGATCCGCTGTACTGGCTTGACGAGCAACGAATCTAGATCCCATGCTGTTGTGAGATCGGATGCCCAATCCCGACATTCTTTGAGCCAGATAGCCACTTTCGGGTTCTTTTGCAGAGTCTGAAGTTTCTTATTGGCAGCATCATGGTTCTTCAGATAGTCGGCGTAGACCTTCTCCATGTTTGCTATATGCGCTATGAATGCCTGCCCAATGAAAGTCGCATTATCTTTCTCCAGGTCTGAAGTGCTACTCCCAGTAGAAGGTTCTTGATCGTTTCTCACGACAGGATTTCGAGGGTTACGCCGGCTGGTCCACCGCTGGGATTTAGGCATTACATAAACACTTTTCGCTGCCTCTTTGAGAGTGTCCTGGAAAGCCATAGAGAATTGCACGACTTGGTCTGAATTTGCAAACAGTACTTTGACATCTTCCGTGGAGAGGTCTAAGCATGAACTGGAGGTTCCCTTATAAATATCATCAACAACTTTCATGTCTTTTCCGAATGTATATTCGGTATCAACTAATTCCTTTATGACATGTCGCCGCTTCTTCAGTTGACGTTGTTCTGGGGATGGGGATGCGGTTTGTGGGCGAGGATGTTCTGAAGTCGAAGGAACCAACGAGGTTGCCGATGAATCCAAGGTGTGCGAAGAAGGAGTTGGCTCAAGTCGCCGGAGAGAGGAGTCCTCACTGCTATCGGTGCTTTGAACGGGTCCCAGCGGCGCAAAGGTGGCGTTCGAGAAGATGTTGGGATGAGCGACGGAAGTCTGTGGGAAACGATGTGTAGTGCTATCTTGAGTTTCAGGGGGTGGAGCTGGAGGGTCGTGGCGTGGTATAGGAGGTGGTGGAACATCGTCATCATTAAACTCCTGAGGTGGATGCACATTGATTGCCAGACCTAAGCCTTCGTCGGTATCTTTTGGATGTGCGTTGGGAGTCACTAGCCGCGGTTTCGGAACACCATCAACTCCCGGGCTGCCGTCAATTTTGGGGGCCTGCGGCGATGATCCTTCATCGGCGGCTACTTGCATCCAATCCATAATTGATGGAGACGCATGCTCCCAGTCATCGCGCAAAAACAAGCTCGCCGAATGTCGCATGCGTTCTGAGGGTGGAATACCGTCAGTTTCCGTTATTAGGACAGGATCGTCAGTCAGACTCTCAATTCTTCTTTCATCTCTCTGCTCAGCCCGGACATGTGGCGGCTCTGGAGACGCGCGTATTGCTGGCATAGGAAGGGGATGACTCCTGCCACTCGCAAGCTCTTCTATGTAGAGCTGAGCCACACGCTTAGAATCCCATCCACCCAGTCTGACTAGGCTGGGTGTGTCGGACGGCCCGTAAGGATTCCTATGTGATACAGCTTCTTTACTTGGTTCTGTTACCACACGGGCTGTCTGGGGCAATGCATGGGGAAGTTGATGACCAATGACGGACGGAGTGCTCGAAGATTCAGAGCATGACTGAGTAGCAACCTCCTCGCTATCCTCGGCGCAGTGGTGTATATTAGAGAGATCGTCATCACTGCCCTCACATTGCCCACCCGAAGAAGTTTCGTGGTGCAGAGAAGATGACCAAGAGCTCATACTCCACCGGTTCGCTGGTTCGCTCTTGGTAGTACCCCGCTTGATATAAATATCACGATGCTCTTGGTTCTCACTGCTGTCTATAGAATCTTCGATAGCCATCGCGTCTCTCAGAACAATTGGAATAGACTCCTTTTCATCATTATCAGAAAAGCCATAATCTTGCTCGTCGCACGATGAATTGCTAGGGCTGGAATCACGTATACGCATTATTTGGCTCAGCAGGGTTCTGTGCGATGCATGTAGATTCTGTTTGGAAAGATCATCTTGAGGTTCTGGATCAAATGCGGTGATATGGGTCTCGTTGGACCCTGCTGTTGCGGCCGAGTCAGGTCGCAGGTCGCAGGGCATCGACTCAAATCCTTGGCCGTTCAAAATCATCTCCGAGTGGCCTAATGTTGGTGAGTCCATCGTCATCGGATGATAGTCTGTTGTATTTCGAGAGTTCTCTGATACAGACACGTCTGGATCGACGCGAAGCTGTGGATGCGCCTTCGAAGCGTCTGTTTCTGGTGTCATGTCTTTCGCTTCATGTCCACAGTCGCCAAATTCCTCGATTACTGTCACGTTATCTTCGGGCTGTACAGAAGTAATCACGTCTGCAAATCCAGTACACTGTTCTTTGGGGGTAGAAGGCCGAACAGCCTGCTCTGTTTCTTCTTGAGCTTTGACCTGGCGTCGGAGCTCCGCTGCTTTCTCTTCTTTTCTCTCATTCTCTTCGACTGTGCGATTGAAAGCTTGTTGGATTCTCTGACGTCGGGTTGCAAAGTCGACATTACCCAATTCTGCCAGGCGTCGCTCTCGTAGCCTGGAGTTTCGTGGCTCACGATCACGGTTGATTTGTCTTTGAAAATTCGAAACCGTTTCCACCACTCTAGAACTTGGCGCCGTTTGGGCAGTTTGTGAGACGGGTTGACGTGGCCGTGAACTTCGCAGAGGGGGCGACTTCTTCGGGGGAGGAGCGGCTATGTATGCCTCCAAAAGGGCACCCTTTTCAGGGATGTACTGACGGGCCCTGCCAGGGGCCACCTCCCGCCTTGCATGCGGCGTTATCGCAAATGTTGCTTCGCCCTCATAGGTCAGTTCACGGGCGGGATGAGACGCCTGTCTGGGAGATGGCTTGGGCAGGCGGCTAACGCCTTTCGGAGGTAAAGCGATCTGCGCAGCAGATCGGCTGCCGAAAGCTAGCTCGGTTCTTGTTGGCGAAGACGGCGAGGAATCACCCGAGGCGGAAGCTGAATTAAGGCGGCGGGAGGAGATTGGGATGCGCGACTTGGAATGTGGGCTCTCTAGGGATGTCCCGGAGTGTGGCTGTAAGGGGGGCTGGTCCGCCATATGGAAGTCAGAAAGGCACGCCGCTGCACCTCCAGGACGATCTCCAGCGAAATCACTCCTTGTCCTTCGGTGAGTATTCGTGTTCGAAGTGGTATTAACAGCCTCTAGAAACGGCGTATGTCCTAGATACCAAGCAGTCGGAGTCAGAGGCGTCAAGCCAAGTGCTGATTCGGGATGGTCAAAAAATGCTGGGTTTGGGCTCGGGATGGTCCCTTCAGAACCTCGACGGCGCAGAAGTGACGGTGATCCATATCCCAAGCTGTGAAAACTCGTATCCAATGCAAGCGATCCGCCACACGCGGGCCGCTGAGGATGGTCGGAAGAGCCGGGACGGTTATTGTTGATATCGTTTGTCCTCAACCGAGGAAGAGAACGTTCTGAGGGTATATCTAGAGCAAAGGTCCCTATCGTATTCCACCGAGGAATTGGATTTTTCTGAATTGATGAATCGTGAGTTTGTCTCAGACGAGAGGCAGTCTTGAATGGTATTGATCCGTCCGTGGGGCTAGCCGGGCTGACAGTCTTGGATGTAGACGCTGACGGTAGTGGGAGAACTTGATCTGGATTGTTGTTGAACTTGTTCACGAGATCCTTAAAAGAGACCTGCCTTGGCCTCGCTATCGACGCCCGTGCTGGCGGTACCCCGATATTGTATCCAAGCCCAATGTTTCCGTACGATGAATCCGAGAGCGAGCGAAATGGCCCTGAGCTTTCCACGGACGACTTCGATGGGTGCGCTGGCCCAGAACACACTCGTTGAAACTGTGTCGGGTGATTTTCGGCAACTTCGGTGTTATCGATTTCAACCATCAAAGGTTCGCCTGAACCACCAGCAGTATCACCTTTTGCAGCCAATATGGGTGGATTTGGGCGATAGTAGTCGTCAGGGTCGGGGGAGGATCGGTTGTTCGAGGATAGGCCTGCCGTTACAGGCAATACTGGAGGGTCTGTGAGACCCTGTTGCGCAGAGTATGTGGTACTGGCAAGAGGCGGTGCGGGAGAAGAGGCAATTAGTGATGTTTCAAAGGAGTCATCCGTCCGGGCATCATAAAAATATTCATTGGTGGGCGGAGAAGATTGGCGCCGAAGCTCATGAGGGTTGCCGTTCAGAACGCAAGAAACGTGCTCGACATCACTGCCGGACATCTTGCATTCTTTCAAGCAGATGGTCAGTGTAAACTGTGTCGTTCAATACTTTTGAGTTCTCTCTGTTCACAAAAACAACAACAACAACAAAAAAAAAAAAATTAAAAAAGGACGATTTTTCCCACCGAAATGGTTGGCGGTGATCCTTCCTGTTCGAGGGTGCTGGGCTTGTGATGCGTTGTTCACAGCTGGTAGGCCACAGATGAGGTTGCAGATTGACCGGCCGGAACTACAAGGCAATCATCACCGGGTAGCACCACGCCAGTACGGCGTCATATTTGAGACAGTATAGCAACGAAACCACCGGTGTGATGCTGGAGGTGTGTACCTCTTTCGGAGATTGTAGAGAGTTATTTAATGCTTAGCCCGCCGCTTAATGCGTGAGGAGTAAATGGGGCAGGCGAAAAGAAACGAATGAAGGCCAGAAAACGGGACAGCGGCCAAGTGTTCTGTTTTGAAAGTCAATGAAAGACCAGCGAAGTATAGGGCTCGAGTAAGACGGACGGGACGAGCGTTTGCACAGCGTCTAGCAGGGGTGTTGGTGTTGGAAAGTGGAAAGTGGAGGGTTATCGCAAGCGGGTCGAGAGGGGTTGTTGTTGAGGTCAGAGAATCAGAGAGGAAATGAGGAACAAGATGGAAAGTGATACTAATGACCGCAATCGCCAGGGAGGGGGGGCGTACAGTAGTATTGTTGCTGCGCGGTACTGTATGTATGTATGGAAGTACGTCAAGGTAAGGTCCAAGAAAAGAAGGCCCATCAAATCAAATAAGTAGTAATAAGTCATCGATGACGACCGGGCATCGATCCTGTGGTCCTATCAAATAAAAAGGGCCGTGGGTGGGCCGACAGTTGGTTAGTACGGAGTAGTTCGCCCTGTTCCTGTTTGAATCTCTGACTGTGTCCACAGTCTTTATTTAGCCCACTAGCAATCGGCTCTGTAAACATTACGTTCCAACTTGTACAGAAGTCAATTACGAATAAATAAGCGCGGAGAATAAAAAAGAACCAGGGGCATAAACAGAGGAGAGGGGGGGAAAATTGAATAAAGATAAATAAAAATAAATATTTTAACAATAATTACTTCTTTTATGCAAGCAAAGTCTGATTGATCTAATCAGTATCATGACACCCTGCCTCGGCATAATCGCCCGATACAACAGGACAGCGTTAGATTAACTATTATTCTCAACATAGATTGCTAGATCAACAATTAATATCACTGCTATCCAGTAAAATCTATAACCAGAAAGGAAGGAACGAAAAGGGACAGAGAGACAGGTCATAGTATGTACAGTATCATACAAGGACACAGTTAGGTTGGTACAGCGTGAAATCATGTTTTAAGACGGTTTTGGTATTCTTGTATGATTATTACTAGGTACCTGATCTGATTACGGTCTTTAACGGTCTAGTCTGAGTAAGTCCCTAGCTCTCGGTCGAAATGTTAGGTAGATCTTCAAAGTGGTCCTCGGGTTTGAAAGAATAAGGCAGACAGAAAATTCGAGCGAATGAAAATTTCAGTCCATAGAAGATTTGGAGAGAGAAAAAAAAATAAAAAAAATCTTTCCAGCAATAGATCCAACCATGGGAGGACATTTCCTTTTTGTTTATCTTCTTCCTTGTCCCGTGCCTTTGTCCTTTCGGCTGGTACAGCAAACGATCGGAACGACATTGCGTTTGCTGACTCGATCACTGATCATCAAGAGTCGATCTCTTTGAAGACATCCATTCCCTTTTTACCTAAGCGGCCGGCTCATCCACGGTCTGCTTCCAGCCAAAAGAAAATCTAATTAGTATCAAAAGCACTAGTAGATACTATGTCTGAGGAGGATATCCTTCCATCAGACTAATTGAAACTGATTGGACGAGTCTTTGATCAAGTCTCTTTCAGCCTTCCAAGGTTTGGTTATCCATGTATCACTTTTGGATCGCTCCCCTGGGACTACTATTTCGGGCTCCACCCATCTTTGTTTGACCTGGGATTTCGGCTTTTCGTTCCTTTCCACTTTCTTTTGTTGGTTTTCTCTATTCCTTGCTTGGAGTTTTTAGCTTGTACCTATGATAGAGTTTGTGTCAACCAGCTTGTTTCTCTTTGCTTGACTTCCAATGTTCCTTTTTTTGACTGTACCCGTAGCATCAAAGTCGGAAAAATCATTAAATAAATATTAAGTAAAATTTAATAAAATAATGAAAAAATCGATGAATAACAAAAGCTCATTACCACGTAATTACAATGTATTGGGTATACCGTGTTATCCGTTGCAGTTGAATAATCAATTTTACTCCCGTAGAGTTTTCAGTCTCAGACAAAACATCTCATCGAAGTGCCTGCATGAAAAGCACGCTGCCAATTGTGATCAACAAAACCGATAGTAGACAAGATGGAAAGTAGATCAATAAAGTGGTCCTTATACCTCATTGAATGTGAGGTTAAATAGTGTTTGTGACCAGTAGACAACAGATTTGACTCCTCTCATGGTTCCTAGAACATAATAATTTGTTCGAGAACAACCCAATCCAGTTAATCGTACATACAGCTTAGAGCTAATAGGCCCTTTTGAGGGATAAAGCATGATTTTCTTTTCTTTTTTTTTTTTTTTTTTTGTTTTTTTTTTTTTTTTTTTTTTTTTTTTTTTTTTTTTTTTTTTTTTTTGTGTTCGCTATCCCCTTCCCTTCTACTCTTATGCTACGATGAATACTATGATTCCGCCATGTTATGATTCGAGATATATGAGCAAGGGATAAGGTCATTCGATACCAGGTCGGTGTGCTATTGCAGTAGGACGGTGTGCTATTGCAGTAGGACGGTGCAACAGTGCCTTTTTGACCACTTTAGATTCTGTCCATACATCCCGAGTTCGTTACCGCATGACCCGGGCACTTTAAAAGAGGAATGTGCAGGGGGAATGCCGAGTTTAATTTGATATACCGGGATCAGTAGCCATTGCTTGAATGGGCAGGAGATACGAGGTACAGGACAGCAGGAGGGGGTTAAACACGCGCTAGTCGAGTGAAATCATACGTACGTACGTACGGAGTACAATTTCCGATTTCGAGTGATCAGAAAACGATTCTTGCTTGCTTTTTCCCAGCGGATCCCAGCTCAACTATAAGCTATTCTTCATGCTCACTAAACCTACCATTTAACCTCTTAAGGTTTAAAAAGCAATAACTCTTGTACCCAGCAGACAGGGTAGCATCGATAGATCTCATTCACCATAATTATTGCCCTCCTTATCGATTGTGGCCGACATCAGTACTACATCTGTCAGCGTTCCTTCCGCTCGTTATCCTATGCAAGGATCCATCAAGTTGGAAATGATGCGTTTTTATTGGCTCCAGGTCCATCCACTTCCTCATGTGTAATTATGTCACTGGCCGAAGGACTCATCTGCTTCGCCTGACATTGGTTCTATCTTCCATCTGTCAGTCCGTCCGTCGATGGTCACACCGCTGGTTAGGACAAAGTGCGACAAGAGTTGAGTTATCTGCATGCGCTTAAGCCCAACTCGCGAAATAGCCATGACGGGAGCGAAAGTGGAGAGGGAAAGATTTCCTGCCACTACTTCCACAGTGGATTTCAATCCCTCTGTCAAACGCAATCCCAGGGACCAGAACGTCAGGACAAGAGGCCATGACATATTTCTCAAGGGCTGTACCAGAAAACATCCCCCGGACTCCGCAACCACATGAGGACGGAAGCATACCAGGGCCGGGCTGGCCTGGTGGAGACGTAATTATTTACGATCACCCTTCCTCGGGAATGCTCCTAGCGTTTGCGACCTTTCTAGACCACCGTCGTTCCAAGGATCTGGGTTGATGCTCCATGTCCGTGCGTGACTGGCGAGGCTGTCCTCAAACTGCAACACTTTTCACTTTCGGTTATGATTTTCTGTTATTATATGCAGAATCGTCAGGCACAACAATTGATCGACACGCTCATTATCCTATCCTAGAGGATAATCCCATTAACACGCTCAGAATCAATTCGATTGACCCACAGAGACTTTCGATCTTAAGATTACTTCAAACTTTCAGAGTTTTCCTCGTCACACATTCAATTTCGGCGGAAAAAGAAAAACGAGAGAAAAATTTCATGTCTTTACTTTCATGTTGGTTCTCGTTCGTCTATCCAGATCAGGTACTTGGTTCCATAGGCTCAGGGACCTCATATACATCACACAGCGGCCCAATGGCCCCACATATGAGTAATGCAACTCACAACAATCTCGCTAAATGATTTTTACTCAAGGGTTACCTTGTATGCACAGGCAGCGTATTCGGCCGTGTCAAGTCGGGGGGTTTCTTAATTCCATAGCCACCCGTCGGCCCGCCGGATGTAGCCTTTTTGCATCCGCATGTTTCTGGCAGAAACGGTCTCTGTGGCATGCGGGTCGCAAAGCCCTTTTAAGGTCAGGGATAACACGCCATGGCGTGTGTACCAACTTCCACGACGGATATATGTGGCCATACAGCTCTGACTAGATACTATCAATTCAATGACACCGTTTGTTGGTCTAATTCTAACAGATTTCACGTTGGCCGCGATAGCGTTTAGAGAAAGATCTACTGGAGTTCCATCCATTTCGAGGAACATCAAAAATTCGCCTTGCGCCAAGGCTTACAATACAAACCAAACAAACAACCCCCTTCTCAACGCCAGTGACCCCTTGAAGTGGCAACAGACAAGAACAACCAAATACAATAATACATAGCACATAGTACCAGCTTCTCAACCGTATCTCAGATATTAGGTTAGCATGAGGCAACAAGCTACGATGTGTTTCAGGGAGCTGCAAGTATTGACTGATAGTTCTTTCAAGTGTTCGAGATTCTTCGACATGTGAGACTGGCCTTGTCTCATGCTAAAACATGGAGGAACAGGGGGTTCTCCATGTCAGATGCAACCTGCGAAGCACTAGTAGTAGCTCTCCCTAGGTAGGGGTTAGCCAATATTTGCGCCTAGTCGGACTCCATACTCCGTTTGGGGTGTACCACAGTAAGCATGATATCAAAAGGATGCACAGCCACAGCGTTCCCAATATTGTGTGGAGCGTGTAGATGTCTACGGGGAACCCGAGAAAAGCAAGACATACCGCGAACCAAGTAGCTAGATATGCGCCTCATCGAAACTATAAACGGAATCTCGATGTTTTGGTTCTCTGGGTAAATGCTACACGAGCGTACGGAGTACTGGGTTACAGGACTCGCAACCAACTTTCGTGGCTTGAAATGTCTTGCTTCCTCCCCTGTTTCCCTTTCGTGGTTTTCAAACCTCCTCTCACATTTACTGAGACGTCTATGTTGGTTATTTGTACGTACCAAGAGTCTACCTAGGGGTGACAGCCTACCCCGTAAACAAGTACATGACATGACACATTCTTAACCCCTGACTATATATAAAGTGGCGTCAGAAAAGCAATAATACCCACAACACGCTTCCACCCTGGATCCCACACTGGTTAACCTCACACAAGCCACAATACATACCATCGTAGCCAGTGCAACGCGAGAAACCACAATGGCATGTTCAGAGTAGTATTCGACGAATATTGGGAGTCCCCTTTCTACCTCTGTTTCGGATATACAACAATACATAGTGATATCATTATAAATGAATACTCAATACAGAGCATCGAAGCGCTCTACCAACGGGTGTGAAAGGGAGAAATTGATTGCATCGAAGGGTGGGGAAGAGGGGGGGGGTTTGAGGTGGAAACCTTCGAAGAACTATTCCGGATGTCTTCTCGAATGCCAACTTGAGGGAGATCGTCCCAAAACGGTCGATGTCTAAAAACAGTAACAAATTATAAACTCTGGCCATGTACAGCATACCATACGGGATATGGTCTATTTAATATATTGGACAAGACCCTTACTATTAGGCCATCTGTATGAAGTCTGTGAAATAAATCTATGGCAATAGTATTCTATGCATCCTATCCTATTACGGGACCCGCCGTTTTTAGGTGTATGCAAGGGAGTCTTGGGTACGTAGTCAAATGTCTTTTCGATTAAGCACTGTCCACCCATTTGACAGGTTTCATGTAAGGTACAATATCTATACCACATCTATAGTGTCCAGGAGGAATACATACTAAGGTAGTTCCATCCGTCAAATTGTTATGGCATTGCCCGGAATCCCATCTTCAGAGTAAGAGCAGCACTATCCCTTGTTCTCTAATATTTAGTCCTCCAAGACCGGCATTCCCAAGCTACATCTCTACAAGGACCGTGAGAAGATGTCAGAGATAGACATGAGGCTGCCAGGGCAAAGTCTGCGTAAAGGGTTCACCCAATGTTCAAGTTCATAGCGTAATGTGCAGTGACAGTACTGGAGCCCTAAATGACCATAAAATGCAATTTAGAATACTTGTGACCGAAATTCGATCAGAGGGTATAGGTCATACACCCCCCATCTCGACAGAAAGCAAATTCCTCAACAATGTAGTCGTTCAGATCTAGATCCTGCCTCACCAGCGTGGCGTCTGCAGAGTTAAATACTCAGTAGTTAGGCTCTATCTAACAGGTTAACAGAATCTTGATTGATGGAAACTAACCTTCGGGAGTGTACTAGTATGTAGTTCATTGTGAAGCAAGACTCCAGAATCTAAGGCTTCCTAGAAGATATTGAAAGCGCTTGATTCTCCTATGTTCAAGCAGTATTAAAATGCCTTTCATCCTTTTTACTTCCTTTTCGATGGCCACAAGCATCGCTTTAGCCCCAAAGTAAGTTGTATTAATCACATATCTAAGAACGGCCAGAAAATAAAGCAAGTCTCATGGGATCGTGATTCACGGGAGCGAAATTGCGTCATGTTTATATAGAATATATCTATGCCTGTCATGCTAACCGCGCGCTTCCCTATCATAGTTAGCCCTTCCAAGAGTGATTTCCTTGCATAGTCATTCCCATATATAACGTGCCTCATTCTCAACCATATCGAGGAGACGCAGAGATATTTACAGTGGACATGCTCTATTTGTTAGGGAGTGACTGGATTCCTGGGAGATTCTGATAAGTAATGAACGCATCGTATTCGCAGAAAACGATAACAGTGAATGCCTGAGCTTACTGAGCATCTAATATATCCTATATGATTTTGAGAGCCTGGACTTCGAGGACGCTTACATGTTTAAACCACCTCGTTTTGTCCAAGCCTGTTTCTTCCATGGAGCTCGAGAAACGACTTATCAACCCTTCTGTAGAAGAACAGAATCGCCCTTTGGGGAGGTACAAACCGATAAAGCTTGATACCCTGTGTTGGCACAGAAAGGACTGTACGGGGTATATCTATCCCTAGGTGCAGGCACAGGCAACTCATTCGGCAGGACCAAGTGCCTTATTCCAAGGCTACATATCGTCTGTGGACCTCCTGAAGATGCAGGAAAATGGGTCAGTGATGATTTCTTTTCCCAGCAGAAAGTTCGTTTATAAGACTTATCTTGAGTGTGAGACTAGCTTTCCTGGCCCTTTCCTCCAGGGGTCAGAATGTAACATGTCATCATGCCATTATGCAAATATGTCTACCTACCATTGGACAATATTCTATCATATTTGGAGAGATACGTGCGCTGCTCTCCGACATGCAAAATTGTGGAGGAAAGTGAGAGTTGAAGACGAGGAGGAACTGGATGCTCTTCATGTTAATCGGATGAACGCTCAAAAGCACCAATTTGAGTTCCCGGAAGAAGTACACTTTCCTGGCTTGATGTATTCCTTCGTAGACCCTCAGCATGAAAGTTAATCCTTTGCCTGTATAGATGAGGAGTGAGTCGTGACAACAAGGTCGAAATTATACAGCTCTGATAAGAGGTCAATGGCGTTGGTCATCCGTTGTGAGCCATATGCGTCTCAAATTCTCAATTCTCGTATGATGCCTTTTGGAAATGACGAGTTCTCCAACGTGTCAAATGTTTTCGTGCAACGATGGGTGAGCTATATGTTCAGCTGGCCGAATATCCAAGGCTGTGCTATCGGGGATGGAAGCAGGTCACTCACGGTGGGCTAATATTCAACAGGGATGAGGCACTCCGCAAGGATTCTTCAAATGTCAGCTACTTGCCTTCGGCCTTTAGGCAGGGTTACCTTTAGTGATTACATAGAGGCAAATCTGGATCGAGGGAACTATATTCCGTTTTACTGATCAGGAGTGTCAAAATTGCTTTTTCGTGACGCAGAAAATCATAGATCATGAAGGAGGTATGACAAGTCGCAGCTGTATTAAAGCACGTACATGCACCCACCAGCCCGGGGATGTGGAAAGCTTACCTCTTGCAACATTAAGCTAATCAAAGGTCCACCCACTTTTTATAAGGCAAAACAGGGGCTCGTCTTGGCTTCGTGGGTATATATAGCTACTAGACTCCAGGAGATGGGGTGTCTTACCATTTCATAACTATAGCTATGACTCCTTTGATCCGATGTCCCTGCTTGAATAGTTAAAATACTATGATTGTCATCTCATTTGAAGCTCATTGATAACTTACTCGTATTGACACTTGACTCGGTCGTACAGCTCGACACCAACACGACCTAGTAGTGTCCAGCGGCGTAAAAATGTTGGTTAGATCTCAATAATATTTATCGTCAGTTATCCATCTGTAACATATATATACTTGAACATTACTTACCAACAAGAAGAAATATTTGTATTTTCCCAGGCCCGTTCCTACCACCCATCCAAAGCCTGGGCTTATGGAGTATATACTTAATATTTGAAAGGTGTTGTGGTCACCCTGGACGCCCCTACTACCTAATCAAGACTAGGTTAATAGTCGGTAATCGAAAGTTATAATTGAGAAAATCAAGAGACCTGTTTAGTTTAATCTCGTTTCCCTGGCCCAGTCCAACCGTCCAGCCAATGCCTGGTGGTCCTTGGCATCCACTCAAGGGTGCTTTGAGATTAGTATCTAAGATTAGTAGGATAGCTCCGGCCCTCCCCATCCTACCCAGACGAGACCTGCGATATAGGGATATACGTACCTGATCCTGTCCCTGACCCATCCATACCACCCAATCTGGACTGGGTCAATAGTGATGATGGCGACAGATCGTTGATAGAATCCGTTTAGTAAACTGCTGATCACCACCATAAGGTGCGAGCTCGTCTTCGGAGACCCATCTGTCAATTACGCCACACGGTTCGGCGTCTGGAGAAGAAGGAGAGTTGATATTGCAGATTCTTTTTCCAAGATCGGGCGCATAGAAGGGAGCGTTAAGTATGCGGGCCGTTTTTAGGGCTGTGGGCCAGTTCCTGCTTGTCGTCTTGTACGTCCTCCAGAGGCGGGGGCGCGGGTAGGGTCTTCAGTGGAGACGTTCTCCTAAATTTGGCCAGCCTGTTACGGCGAATGTTAGACTGGGTTCATCATTGGTGGAGTGGGGATAAATGATAATTCCAAAGGCTGAGATCCTTGAGCAGCTTGGAGTGGTGTACCCATCTGGCATCTACCTGGCTCATGCTCTTCCACATACTCGGCATTGTCCTGGAGCGTTGTTAGTGTCATGTCATTCACGCGTGTTGCAGTGATAGTTGTTATGGTCAGGAGAACAACTAGGGTGTTTCCATGGAGATTACCAAACCTGAATGGCATAGGTATCTTCTGGCTACCCTTAGTGAATGGCTAGGTCTCCATGGAAACTTCAGGATGCACCTGCCCTTGCTATGAATGTTTAGGGCCATGATGTCCCAAGCAGTTCACGGAAGTCAAGATTGCCATGTTCGGTAGTATGCTTTTTATTTGATATGGTAAGGGCGTGTCGAAACAAAAATATGCCCTGCTACATCGGTACTACGTACGTAGTACTTGATATCAGCCCTACTCGGCATATTTAAGTAGCCCCATATATTTTAAGGTACTGCTAGATAGTCGCAATGGAATGTATGCAAGTGCGGGATCTAACGAAATCAAGGCTAGCTGCAGACAGGGCAATATCAAATCGATATACTACGGCAAGGCTGGGTACTGAGTTCAATATAGAAGACTGGGTCAAGCTTTCCCTTCTTACGCCCTCTCCTTGGTGATGCTCAGCGAACTCTCGCTCTTAGCACCTTCCTTACTGCAATTCAAGTAAACAATACCTTGGGAAGTAGCTGCAGTTGCCGTTGCCATTCGGTAGCAACGGTCTCTCCCCCAGTCTATTTCGCTTTTCCTTCTTCCTCTTCCTCTCTTCCTCTCTTCTTTTCCTCTCCAACACCTCATGGTCGTTTGATGCTAGTATCCTGCTATTTGCACTATACGCTTGTCACTCTACCTTTGGTGTTTTACTTACGCTTAGCGGCGTCTCTTTTTGATCCCCTTTTTTCCGTTTTTTGACCAGGTCTGACAGATGGCTCGCCTCTGCGTTCCTGGGTTTATCTTCCGCCGCGACAGGCCCACCGCACGGTACACGACACAACCAGCCTTTCGTTCATTCCCTCGAACTGTCGCCTACCGTGCCAACCCTCCTGTCTCGCCCCGCTCCTTTTTGCCGGTCTCCTCGAAGGCCGGCGTCCACTCCTTTTCCGCCGTTTCGACCTCGTCGACCGGTGACCGTTCCTTTTCTCAGATGAGCCAGGGTTCTCATCTTCCGGTTCGCTCGGTAAGAGCACCAGCCACTCCTTCTACTACTGCCCCAGCTTCCACTGGGGTGGTGGATGCGCTAAAGGCCCTTTCTTCCCGCCTCGCGGAAAGAAGGGCAGCTCGACAGGCCCGACTTCGACCCTGGGCTCAGCCCAGCTCGACCAGTCGCAACTCGTCCTCCGGACACCCGTCGATGCCTGCCCACCGCAAGCCAGCGCCCACCAAGTCCGCCATCCGCCAGCCGACCAAGCCGGTCAATCCAGCAGGAGGCATGGTGACCCGTGCTCAAAGGACGATCGCACGAATCGACGACACCCTTGCCAAGCTTGTTTCGACAAGCGGCCGCAAGGACAAGCCGAGGAAGCGCGTTCGTTTCGGCGAGACCACGGTGATCCCTGTCGAGCGCTGGATTGTCCGGTCCGAACACTCCTTTATCTTTCCGTCCTGGTTCGGTAACCTCCAAGGTTGGAGGGTAGTCGCTCTTTCGGAACCGAACGACGACGGCGAAACCGAGAAATACGTCTCGATGTGGGGCTCCGATCATTACGACATGCTCTACACCCACGCTCACTCCGAAACCCCTTGTAGCCGGCAGGGGTGCGTTTGGGATCGTATGAAGCATATTATGTCTCAGCATCCCAAATGGACTCCTGCTATGGTTATCAAGGGGTTCAACGTCTACCGAGAGAAGATGAGGCAGCGTGGAAAGTTCTACCTGTGAGCTTTCCCTCCTAACTCCAGTCTTTCTTTAAGCACCTCTTCTCTTGCCCACGTTCCTTACCCTGACATACCATGTCATCCACTCTTTTGTCTTTTTCCTTTGTTCCCATTGATTGGCTGGCTCTGGCCTTCCTTGAAGGTCATCCAGGTACTGCTAATGGATCACAGATGTTGATGTAATGTCCTGCTGTGATATTGGTGGCGCAATTGCATCCCCCGATAGGTACGTATGATGACTTCCAGCTTTGGTAGTCCGGGACTGACAAAAGCAGAGGACGTTCTAGGTTTAAGGGTTCCCTACAAACAGGGGTAATGGCGCACACCCGCACGCGGGGCTTAAGACGTACACCCTTGCCAGGAGCATCAACCACTCCAAACGAACGACGCCGACGCCGACGACGACCGACCGACCGACCGGCGATATACAGGCTTGGTGATTGAATAAGAAAAGATAAGTACCGCCGTCTTCAATCAGCATTGGCTCTGACTAACCGCGCGTCGATTCAGATGTGTCCCGTGTCTTTGCGGAAGACACGGGCTACACACAAACGGCTGAACAACGAAAAGATAAGTACCGCCGTCCTTACTCAGTATTGGCTCTGACTAACCGCTTATCGTTCCAGGTGTGCCCCATGTCTTCGGCAAGACACGGGGTCGGGTGGATAAGGAGGGCAGAGTTGGATTAAGGAGGGAAGAGTTGGATAAGGTGGGAGGAGTGGTAGCGGTGGTCTGTGCCTTCTGGGGTAAGTCAGCCCGACTAACAAATCTTAACTTTAACCTTATGAGCTGACGGGAAGAAACAGGGACCACCAGCGGACGGCATGGGCGGTGGACTTGGGGACGGGGCGGGGGGACGTGGGGACGGGGCTGGGTGGATGGGGGGTTTTGACTGTTCCATCTTCGGATGGTTCAGGTTTGACTGTTCAGCCTTCGGACTGTTCAGGTTTTGACTGTTCAATCTTCGGATGAACAGGTTTTCCTTTGTTTTTCCTTTGTTTTTCCTTTCTTGTCTATATCTTTTTGTCATATAATCAACTCTGACACTTAGGAGCGGGTGGGCGGGCCAATTCACGTTTTTGCTTTTTTTTTTTTTTATACTATTAATGCCTACTTTCGTAGCGTTGAGCACGTAGCTGATAACAGATTTAGCTGTAGTTGGAACAAAACACTATCTCTTTATAACCACCGAGGACACAACATACTAACAGTAACATTGAACATGATTGAAATGGGAAAAGGAAAACATAATCTCAAGCCATTAGCGAATTCCATAAATCAGAAGCTTTCTCTCCCTTCAACCCACTATTACTAACTTGCGCCGCCGCCGAATAGCACCGATTAACCGTCGCCTGCGGAGCATTGCACGGACTCCGAAGGTGACTACAAACAAAATTCAGCAAGGTGTTGAGAGTCGTCGACGACCCATGCGGAAAGTCATTCTGATTGTTCGTAGTCCACGAATATTCCGTCCGTCCATCGAGTCCATCCGCCCACCGGATAGTAGGATCCGAGCAGGTCCCGTAGTCGGGACCATCATTGCTGCCTGCACCGTTGGTCGTAGGGGTAGGAGTAGCGGTATCTGTATTGGCCGTGGCAGTCCCAGGGGATGTAACAGTCACCGTGATGGTTTCGGCATGCGTTACTATCTGCTTGCTGGTGCTAACGTCGGTTACGGTTGACGTGAGTGTTTCAGTTACAGTGGCAGTTTTGGCCGGGCCATCAGCAGTGACGGTCACTGTGTCTGTGGGGCCGGCAATGGTCTCTGTTGGACTATACATGAAATGTGGATGTTAGCCTCGCTACATAAAATCTCAGGCTCTCTCCCCCTTTGTTGTATGTACATATAGTACTTCGACTTACCCAGGCAGCTGTTCGGTGGATATCGCCGTCACGGTCACCGTCTCTGGAGTGCATATCTCGACATTTTCCCAGTGACCATGTCCTCTGGTGTGAGCTCCGCAAGCCCCATCTCGGCAAAGAGACCCATCCTCCGCTGGAGCGGGACGGCCCACTGCACCCGGCACGATCTGGAGGAGAACGGGGAGGGTAAGAAGAATAGTAGTACCGTGGTAGACCATTTTGCAGGAGTAGTGCTAATAGAATAGATAGAGACTAGTATGGTATGGAACATAAAAACAGGGAATCTGAGACAAGATGTGTCGCAAGGGTGGGGATTTATATGGCACATGCACTTCGGGCTTTCTATATAATCTACGGAAACGAAGGGAGGTTGGGGAAGGTAGGTATACGCTTGCAGGATTTACTTTTGGAGATTCTTGAGGGCATGGATTTGATCTATATTCGGTGTAGGTGTATAACTCTATCGTCCCTTTGGTTGTTGTTCCTGGGCGTTGTTAGCCTCGTAGGTAAGGGTAGAGTTAACCTTAGTAGTATGTACTCTGGAAAAAGCATTATACTTTTCGGGAGGCGGAAACAGGGCCCAAATATTTTTGGTCCTCCGGAATCTTAACTAATAATAGTCTCTGGTTTCGGAATCAGTTCTATCGTTCGAGGTTGTTAGGGCTGATGACGGCGCCCCACTTCAACATTCCTGAGGCGTCCTAGACGGTTGCGGACAGGTTTGACATACATGACATACCATCGTGCAAAGCAGTGGTGACTGACTGCTCTGTTGAATGTCAATTCCACCTTGGACTACTATGGCTGCTTTGATTATGGGCAAGGTTTGGCTGCATCCAATCCCGGGCGATGCTTTTCTCTTGTTGGGCGTTAATATACTAGACTAGCAACTAGATCCGTACAACTTTCCCTCTCTGCGGGTCAACCTTCATTAAAGGCTGTGGAAACGTCAATGCGGACCTCCATGCTCAAAGAACTCGAATGATGTTGAGATATAGGCATAACCCGGGTGCTCGGTGTCTGCACTTTTCTCAGGCGCTCGAGGAAGGCCCGCTCATATATGTCATTTTCACCTCCGTATCAGTCTGCTCTCATGATTGTGAGGCCTTGAAATTTGTCATCTGTACTACGAGATGTTAGCGAGGCATCCCAGAGCCGATGATTGAGTTGTAAAGGGTATCTGTACTATTGATTGCGCATAAGCCACGCTATTGAGTATCGCGTGGATCCTATTCTGCTGAGTACCTCATGTTTGCCGTTATGAACCTGACAGGATGATAAACGTCCGAGCCTTCTTCTACCTTATGATGCAGTTTTGTCATGAGAGGAAAAGAGTCCGATGAAGAATCCGTAGACGCGTTGGG